ATTCTTCTTTACGCATTAACGCGTGCACGACAACAAGAAACCGGTGACTATTTGTCACGTCAATCCTTCGCGGTGACACTCCATTAATAGCCAGGATAAACAAGAATGTTAACCAGGCGAGTAAAATTCATTTCAAATATATATATATATACACACACATATATATTTTTTTTAAGATCGTATTATTGACGATTATTCCTTTTTCCTTTTTTTCACTCTATCAATTTTGAAGTGTACTTGCCCGCGTTAACTTGAACACTGAAAAGCTACCGCGTGATAGATGGTTTACACAGTGCCGTACGAATACTAGCATCTGTAGGTGCGCTTGCGTTACGTGCCCTCATGCGCGACCGACCGGATGGAACCGGAAGGAAATAGAAAGGCACGAAACAAAAAAAAGCACATAAGAGGGGATGAAATATACGTATGTATGTATGTATGTATTTATGCGATTGTTACAGATATAACAGATGCATGTCGAAGTTCATACAGGGGAAGTTACAGCTAATCGGCGTAATCGTCATGGATGAGTAATACTCGACTTATTTATTTCCGTTTACGTTCGTGAAAATTTTCAATATACGTTCGATTTATAAGAAAAATTACGAATATAAATTAACATTTAATTATATATGATTATTTATAATTCTGTAAATAATATTAATCAATAAATATCAAGATTTTTTGAAATATATTATATATTTCATTTCATTCCATTTTTTAAGAATATTGAAATCAATTTAAATGATGTATAACAAAAAATTAAAGTATCGATCAGACATTTAAATATATTTATTTTTTTTTTCTGAATTGAAATTAAATGATATTGTAATAGAATAAAATTTAAACAAATAGTTTTAAATAATTTTGTTTAATATTTTTAATATTTATAATAAAATGTAAATAATATCAGTATAAAGCAGGTAGGCGTGTTATACGTATTATTGTGTGTTCACGAAGCCTATCTCCTCTCGTCTACATTAATTCACGCGATATAGTATGCAGTTCTGATTCAAATAATACATATGACGCTCACCTGTAAGATATTACTACTAATTTTTATTTTTAGATAAATTTCAAAAGAAAAAAAGAAATAAGAAAAGTTTTAATATTATTTTAAAATAATATTTAAAATAAAAATTACATAAAAATAAAATTTTGTTAAATCATATTTTTTTAAAAGTCTAAATTCTTATTTGAATGGCTCGAACATCCAAATTGGGATATTGTATCATCTTGTTCCCGTTGAGTAGTATCTCCCAATTCAGGTGGTAAATGTAACACCTAAAGTAAAATTAAAATTAGCAAGAAAAATTACATACATATAGTCAAATATTAATTCAATTATATTTATATAGCTATTTACCTCAATAACAAATTTTTTACGGCGTAATTTGAATGCAAGATCTTGTGAATCTGGATTATGTGGTGCTATGGTATTTAAAGTAAGCATCTTTTGAAGATGTAATAAACCATGATAGTCTTTAAAAAGTGGATTCGTTTCCTTTTGTGAGCCCGCAAATGATTCTAATCTAATTGCAATATCTGATAAATGTTCAACTTGTTGTACAATAGTATCCTAAAATTCAAGTAATCAATATTTTTGAATTTATATCAAAATTATACGAAAATTTAATATATAATTTATATAATAAAACATACAGATTTATCAAAATATTCTGTAGGTACTGTTATCACACCAACTGCATAAGAATATCTTAAGATTGCTCTAAAATAATATAAAAATTTTAACAAGTCTTGATGCGATTCATCTTCAGAATCACTCCACCATAATCTAGATCCCAATGAATGGATTGCAATTCTTAAAACTTGTCTTTTTTCAGGAGTTTCTGAAATTGAGTATTGTCCTTTTTTCAAAGTTTCTTGAATACACTTTAATAAATTTGTATATGTTGTATTGTTAAAGATTTTATCTTTTACAGGACAACTATCGTCGTACCACTGTGTTATATCTGCTTTTTCAATTACTTCTTTTTCCATTGTTTTTGTAAGATCATAAAAATGACCAAAAAATTGTCCTCCAATTGGAGAAGGATCAATTGCTTTCATATTTTGATACCTCCAAGCAATTTTCATTTGTTCATCAGAATTAGAAGGTTCATCAATTGATTTAGTATCTGTTATAACAGCTGGCATATCTGACACAAGAAGAGATGTTTTAATATCTTTAGATCCAATTAATAATGGTTGTGCAGTAACTACACCTTCAGCCATAAAATATTGTAACATAACTTTTGCATATGTACCATATCGATCTTCCTCTGAAAATAAAAATTATATATATTAAATATATATATTATTTATATATTAATCCTTATAAATTTGATATATTATTACGAACCAATAAGAAATAAAGAACCAATAGGTAATCCACCACCTAAAACAATATATAATTATATAATAAAAAATTATAATTAAAATTGTTTACTTATAAATTCAAAAAATTATATTCAAACCTATTATATAATCTAAAGAAGGAATTCCACAAGAAATAAGTAGTTGTGAATTTTTTTAATGAAGGTTTTGTTCCTGATATAAAGGGAATTCTACTGTTTTTTGCACTTAATAAATCCATTATTTTCTAATTTTAATTAAAATTAAAATGATTTTTTAAGATATTTTTAAACAAAAAATAAAGATAGAATTATTTAATTATTATTTAATTATTATGAATTAAAATCTTTTTTTTTTTAAATATTTTAACTTTCTAATATAACATTAAATAATACACGTAAATAATAACTACGCGCAAAATAATAATATAAAATTGATATTATTTAAAATTTTTATTTAAAAAAAGTTTATTGATAATGAATTTTGACTCATGTATCACAACAATCAATTTACAATTTACATTCAGAGGTTATGTTATATATATAGAGGTTAGATTATTATTATAATATAATACATATAATACATAATAAATATATAAATTATTGAAACATATACAATCAAATTATAGAAATATTATTTAAAAATTTACGAAATAGTTCCATGATTTATCGATTAGAATATATATTTTCATTACATTAAATAAACGGAAGATGGCAACACTTGAAGCTACTTAAAAGTAAATCTTTCATAATTTGTAATTCTTTAACTAAAAGAAGTCTATATCTACAATTATAATTTAACAATTATATATATTGTCTACTATCTACATTTTATTAAAATATTAAAACTACTTCAATTTAATTATTTGTTAAATATAATTCTATATATTCAATATACATATAGATTTTCTAGTTATTCAAAACAAAACCTAATATTATTATAAATTAATAAAAAATTCGTATAAAAATCTTTCTTTTTATTTAAATAATTATATTTGAAAAAGTCATATTTAGAAAGGAATATTTAAATATAAATATATAAATATTATCAAAAATTTCTTAAATTATATTTATATCACATAAAGTAATTTCTAAGAGTTATATACATTACTTTTAAAAAAGATTTAACGGCAGACTACGGAAACGTGGCCAGGCGTTAGAGACAGGGGGAATGCTGTATTTCATTTCCCCCTAAATAGGAAGATGCGAGAGAAAGAAAGAGAGACATAGTCTGCAAAGCAGATAAGGAGCAAAGGGAACGCGTGAGTAACCCGTCTCGTACATGTTAGATTTAAAGCTGTGTACGAGCAGTTGTGCACAAGCACGATGTGCAGGTATCCGACACAGTGAAACTCCTCCCTGTTACTATCCTATTTTTCTCCCTTTCTAGTATATTCTACACGGCCACCTTCCTCCTTTACTTCTCCCACTGTTCCCCTACTACTGACATGTTTTCTTCTTCCAACACAATCATGCCAATATATTGATCTCTTGCTCGCTCTTCTGGTCTTTTCCTTCTTTCTACAGGCCGGAGCACGCTGCCCTCGCTCAACTACCTGTTGTGACGTCCAACGTACACTCGACGACGCACTGGGACAATCGAGAGATTCAGCGCACGCAGCATGCGCTACAGTTTTTCGTGTGTATGGTATATTGTATTATAATATTTATATATTGTTATTTGTACAGAAAAAAATCTTTTGTTGAATTTGATATTAATCAGTAAAATAGAGCTGATATCCGCGAAAGTCTTGTCGTTTGTCGCGTACTCCCACTACAATTTCTCTTCCCGACTCTCATGCAGACGTGCGCCGTAATGAGAGGGAGTAAAAAAGACCAAGAATAGAAAGAGAAGAAGAATATTATAGAGAGGCTCTTATTGAGAAGTTGTAGTTAGACTTTAATGACTAAAGAGGGCATTGGAGACATATTTTAGAATACATAGAAAACAATAACTTCAATATATATATAACAATATTAATATTGATTTATACTGATTATTATATTGATAAATTTTAATATGTTTTTTTTATAAATAGCTTATATATTTTTGTAATAAATTATGATAACTTATAAAAATTTTGTCTTATTATCTTTTTATTTAAAAAAAATTACACAAAATAATAATTAATTTACAAACTAATTATGATTTATTTTAAACTAGCTCTTATTTCAAAAATTAGATCTTGTTTTAAAAATTTTTGACCATATTAGAATATTCATTTATTATTAATTTTTCATAAAATAATATAAATTTATTCATTAATTAAGCATTAAATAATAATTATATTTCATATTTTTTTTATAAATAATTTTTTATATAAAGGAAAATAAATAATCATTATCAATAATATTTTAATTTTAACTGTAATAATAATTTAATCTTAATAATTTAATATTAATTATATATATTTAATCTTAATTTATCAATTTCTATTATTTTTTTCTCAAAATACGTTTATAATGAGAAAATAGTATATTTGAAAATAAAAAACAAAATTTTATAATAGACGAATATTAATTAATTATAATAAGTAAAATTTAAAGAAAGAAAAATTTCATATATGGCGCCAACTCTGTTTAGTTATAAAGATCACTATCAGATGGCGTGGCAATTTGGGCGCCTCTTGTATACACGGAGTTTCCAGGCCCTGAACTTAGTCGCGCGCGGTGAACGTTCCGTCCTACTGTCGAATCTTCGCGCGCGTCTCGTCGAGAGTGACAGTTCGAAAACTTCTTTTACACGGAAGACAAATGCTATCGTTCGACTCATGAATATCGTTACATTGTCATTAAATTAATGGAATGCGAACAACTTCTGTGGGTACTTCAAGGAAACATTGTGTTCTCATTACTGATTCAGTAAATATCGTAGCAATCTCGAGCGAAATGCGTTCGCGTGGAGGCTAAACAGCGGTGACTCGTTGCGTTGGAACGACACGGACTTCACGGTATACCGTCCAGTCACGTGGCTTCGAGAATAAAACACGAAGTATAATATCGACGGTATGTCGCGATGTCAACAACCGGACAGGCAAAACAGTGCCTAAACGTGACATTGGTGCGTGCCTGGTGTGATAAAAGACGACGAACATTTGTTTATAGTGTCTCGTGTCATGATTGGTCTAGCAATTTATTGTTCCACTAAAACGAAAAGTGACAAAGAACCATAAATACAATAATATTAACAAGGATTTTTACAAATAATATCATATTCTTATATGTGTCGTACACATATATTACATATAGATGTCGAACAAGAATTAAATGAAATTACGAAACAATCGTGCGATCGACACGAAGCGTGGTTGAAAATTATCGTTGAAAATTAATCGGCACTAGTGTGATTATCGGACAAAAGCAAGCGTGGTACAGCAGTGTCGACGCGCGAATATATTCCAAATGCGTCTTGACCGGAAGTTGAGGATCGTCGCATTGGCAGGGTGGCAGAGGATGCCCGGCTCGAGGGCAGCGGCGGGAGACGAGGTTGTAGCAGTAGCAGTAGCGTGCGTCAGGCGCTTCGGTAGCAGAGGTTCTCACTGAGCTGGCTTACCCTGCGGTGGATTTAGGGGGCTGTATGGAGGCCGGGGGGCTCCTGCCCCGCCAGCCCCCGCAAGGCCCCCCCGGCACCGCGCCTGGCCCGATTTCGGTCTGCGTGGGCCAGGCTCCTAATACCAATACTAATAACAACAACGTAAACAACCTGCAAAATAGCGTCCTAGCTCAATCAGCCGGGATTCACGATCTAAACGCGGCCGGCCAGTTGAACGTAACCAGTCAACAGCTGCAATTGCAGCAACAAATGGGTCAAGCACCTGGCATGGGTGAGGTACTCACCCCCAAGAGGCAGGCGGTCGTCGATCGTCTGAGAAGAAGGATAGAAAGTTATCGACGTAGACAAACCGATTGCATACCAAGATTCGACCAAAGCTTCAACGGTCTATGCGAACAAAATATTCAAGACACACTAGTGCTGAAGCAACGTTTCCTCGAGAGTAAGGCAAAACGGCAGGCCAAGAAAACGGACAAGAAGCAAAGCGAGCCGGTCGGTCTCTCCAGCGTTCACGTGGTGAGTCATTTACTCTACTTGTTGGCTTTCGCGTCTGTCTCTCGTTGGCGTTCCTCGTCACAATACCACGCTTATAGTCGGCGTAGGTGATCGCGCTCGTTTGCACGCGCGCACATGCCGGTCGTCAACCTTCCTCTTCTACCAAATTTCTTATCACATATCTTCTTTTTCGTGCACGACCTTGTTATTTCGTGCACTCACTTCCGAGAGAAGATTAATGATATTTCGCGAACGGTATGACGAATTGTATCGTTGTTGCTATTGTGTTTGCTCGTCCGGAACGATCGAGTTCCGGATCACGATAATCGAGTTTTAACGATGAACGTAAATTATCGATGATATACGTTACAAATTTTCCTGTCGAAAATGAAACAAACTTATGGGCACTTGATGATCGTGAAACATGATGAGTATTGTGTAAACGTGTATGCGCGCGCGCGCGCGATCCAGAAACGCGATCATTGCGTCATGCGATTGAGAACATCTAAACAGTGTAGTAAGTACATATATAGCGAGTAAGCGGCACTCGGCAACTTGCCGGGTCAAGATTCTACTACACAGGTTTGGAATCGAAGCGCGGGCGTAATGAAATACCACGCTCTTTACACCTAACTACCGAGTTTCATTTACAAAGAGCTCGATAGACTGTTATCTCATATTGATAACATCTTTTCTCTAAATTTTCGTGAAAATTTAATAAATATTAAACAGATAAATGTTTCAAAATCTCGCATATAGATAGTTTTGAATGTTGTAAATTATTTCTTGTTTTTATTTAAATAGAAACATAATATTATAAAATGAAAATAAAATAATCAATATATTTTCTTCTTTAATTTCAATTTTTTTCATTTTATGTTTCAATGGTATATTTTTAAAAACGTTTCATTTTAGTAAAGAATAAAAGTTTTCATTTTTCAAGTAAAGAATAAAAAGTTTATCACTGTTATATTATAAAACATATTAAAGAAATTTCTTAATCACACGATGAAATTTCTTCGTATATTTAATACTCGTTTTTTTCTTTTTTTATACAAATTCTCATGCGCTTGATATAGTTTCAAACTTTTTCTTTTATTCATTTTAAAATAAATTTCTCTAAGAAGAAAATTATTGTTACAGTTTTTATTATCATTTATTCTGTTATAATATATTGATCACTATACAAATAGAAATTGATTTCAAGGTACTATCATAGAAAATATTCGATTTAGTGTAGATTATCGTTGTTGCTCTATATATGAAGTTTCGAACACATGAGTCATCCAATTAAACGCATAATTTAGCAACTATGTGCAATGCATGCAGTCATATGCAAATGCCAATCATATATGAAATTTAATTCATTGTTGTAAATTATCCAGCATTAATTCTTCATTTTAATCAACATATTTTGCATTTTTTTGTACTATAGAAAAAATTAATTGTTTTCAAATTATATATGTTATTCTTAAAATTTTTATTATATAAAGTACAGTTTTTAATTATAATATGTAATATAAAAATGTTAAAAGATAAAAAATTTAAAGTAAAGTTTTAAAAATAATCAAATTTTTATTAAAAATATTTTATTCATAATCTCGAAGTTTGAATTATAAAATATATAGTATATTTAATGATATTGATTTTAGAATACTAAAAAACTGAAGTAATGTTTAAAAAATGACAAAACTTTCATCAAGAGAATTTTCAAAATTTACATTAGATAATTGCATAATCTTGGAACTAGATATTTTTTTTTTTTCTTTCTTTTCTTTTCGTGATATTATTTTTAACATTGTATCTCATTTCAGAGAAGTATTTATCAACAAGAAATATTCGATAAAAAATCTTTGAAACTATTCTCGCAAAGTGTGATATGACAATACTTATCAAGCGAAAAAGTCCTATATTTTTTTAAACATTATCTTGAACATTTTTTGAGTTAAAAAAAAATATTACTTCATTTCAATATTACTACATTCGTTTTTAAAATCATTTTCTATGTAACATGTGTTTAAAAATGATACAGTTATATCATAAATATCTAATAAAAAGTAAATCTTACAAGCTTTGCTTTATCAAGTGCAACTAAAATGTTGCACTATCCTACGTCGATAAAACTTGACCTTCCTTTAACAGCTTTTTTCCAACATTGCGTGGGTTGACAAATAAATATATAATATTTTTCAGTTATCTAAAAAAGTAAAATAACACTTTTTATTCTAAAGTTGTTTTATTTCTGTATAGTCGATAATGTACATCTTTGAAGTTACTTTTTACAGTCATTTAATTTACAAAAATTATAGTTTAGAAAAAAAAATATGTATGCAAATGATAAAACATTAGGATTAAAGTATTTAAAATTTTCTGTTATATGCATTAATTTATGTATTTCAAATTGGTAACATTTCTCATTCAGCAGAGATATCCTTACGTTCAATTTCAAATATGAGCATTAGAAACAGCATCTATAATTTTAATTCGTATAAAGACAAAATAATTATGGATTCGTTATTGTTTCTCGCGGGGAAATTGCCGTATATCCAATACGCTTTATTTTCCATCCCGATATCGATTTGTATCGTTGAAAAAGCGATTCAAAACAGGTGGATGTGGTATCGTTAAGTCGTGGGCTTTCTGCCTACGTTGGTTTACCTGTAGGCGTTCGATTCGAGACGTTCCATATTAACCTTGGATTTACGTCAATGCAGGGGCGTTCTACGCTGGTACGTGTAACGTCATTGTCACGAACTTATACGCGATGCGTTTATTCCGACCTTCGTGAAGCTTGCTGACAACCTTTGCCGCAACGAAGTGTAAATATATTTCCTTGATCTTTTTTTCCCTCTTCTACATTTTCATTTTTTTCACCTCCTTTCCTTTTTCACTATTGTACGAACTACATAAGCAATGTTATATTCTCTTTTATGCTATTCTACGCTACTCTATTCATATATATATATATATGTGTGTTAAGATTTGATTTGAATGAAAATAAAAAATTGTAGAATAAAGAATTGTAATTCTTTGAGGTTAAAGTATTATAGTGGATTTATCATTCATCGATTTTGAATATTATTGAATTATCGAACGAACGAACTTGAATTTCGAACATTCGAGTTATTCTTGTTGAAATATTAACAAGTATTTGATTTACTCTCATTGATTATCATTATTTAATAGCTGTATTAATATTAAAAGTAACGTCTCGTTAGTTGGATAGATACGAGATTGCCTATAAATCTTGGTTGATTACTTTGCTTATGAAATTATGTTCTACTGTAGATTATGAAATTTTATATAATTAGCTTCTTTATCATTATTCATTATATTCAAAATGTTTATTTAATGTCAAAGAATATTCGATATAAATTTACAGAATTTTATTCCACTGTATATTTCGTTTCATTAATTCTCTTATACATTGTTCATTGATTTCGTTGCAGAAATTAAACAGAAGAAATTTATATAATATTAATTAATTGATTATTAACCTTTGTACGCCACCAATCGAGAAGCCTATTGAATTTTATTTCAATGAATTTCATTTCGTTGATTCCTTTGTACTTTGTATGACAATTTTATTACAAAAATTTAATATAAGAAATTTAATGTTAGTTAAATGAGCATTAAATATCATAAATGATCAGTATAAATCTATAATATTTTATTTCAATATATATTTCATTTTATAATAAAACTTAATAATTTTATTTATATTTTATTTAATAAAAATAATTTTATTCTAATGTAAAAGTCGTAAAAATTTGTATTCGACTTTATTCAATAACGAATAAAATAAATTTCTTCGAACTCGTTCAGATCGTTCGAGCTAATCACAGCAGTAATCAAAGTAATCGTGTGCTCGAGTCTGTTTGATAAAATAAGCTCTGCTCGTATCGATTTTTAAGTATTAGAATAGTCGAGTATTTGTACATCTCAAACAAGAATGTCTTATATACGATTTGTCATATAAAATAATATCTTATTTTATTAATTATTTCGATCAAATTTTTTTTCAAACTTTCGACAAGCATTCTTCAATTATTGACATAACTAGTTACATAACTCTTGATTTGAGAATTTCTTAAAAAAGGATAACTTAAAGTTTTGCAGAGATATAAAATATAATATTGATAATAAGCATATGATATTATCAAATGTTTTATTCAAAATAAAAATAATAGTGGAATGGAATATTCATGTAAAAAAAAAAATCCTTAAATATTATACTATATTGTTACTCACGTAATATTCCATGCCCACGTAACAGAGATCGTATCAAATAAAAAATTTGAATTAGCAAATACAAATTATTTTACATTATAATAAAAACGAAATCATAAAAATAATGCACCGACACGCTATTTGCAGAGATGATAAGCAACGATAAATGTCTGGAGGATATTTATACAAATGCTCATTGACGCAACTTTACTTCTTATCCTCGTGAAAAATAAAAAACAGTGTTTCAGTCTTTCTAAATTTTTTTCTACAAATACAGTTTCTCACAAGTTATTTTAATATAACAATTCTAACCTAACCGTAGAATAATCGCATGTCAAGATTACTTGTCTAAATCTCATAGAGGGCGTTCGAAACGGGTAGAATCTCATGGCGTGAAAAAGCGTATAACCTAAAATACAAATGCGTTCTTTGTTTCTTCCATAGTAAATCGGTCGGTCGTCGCGAATATACGTGCACATATTACGTGACACACGCCTCATCCGAACCGATCTTATCGAGGGAAAAAGGTAACGGTTAAAATTGTCGTCGCGCGAAACTTTTATTAGCTTCGTGTGTAATTGGTCGATTAGCTGAATGATAGACTAAATTAAAGGAGAAAGAGAGAGGCAGAGGAGGGGAGTGGGAAAGGTAAAGAGAAAAACTGCACGTCGACTTGTGAAAGTTCGTAACAACGAGTGTATATATGTTATTCGTTAATTAAACGAAGTTAGTCCGTGTAAAACGTGAAAGCAAACTATTATTTATAGCGAGATAAATAAAGAAGTTTGCCA